CCCTCTGACAGTGCAGCTCTCCCTCAGTACTGACCCTCTGACAGTGCTGTGCTCCCCTAGTATTGCTCCTCCAAGAGTGCTGTGCTCCCTTAGCACTGACCCTATGACAGTGTAGCGTGCCCTCAGTACTGCACTATTATAGAGTAATTTATGACACACAGAAGGCCACTCATTCCACTGAGCCCATACTGGTTCTTCCTAAAGCAAACAAGTAAGTCACATTCCCTTGTTCTATCCCCATAGCAGAAAACGTTTAACTCTTTAAAGTGACCATCCAGTTTCCATCAGATAGCATTTCTTGTCTCTGCTTCTACTGTCCCCATTGATGGTGATAAGAACCCTTGCTGTGCAAAAGAATTTTTCCCCACATCCCACTGCATCTCTTAACCCTTACTTTAGAGCTGTGTACCCTGATCCTTCAACTCCTAGGAATAGTCTTTTGCTATCTACCGCATCTGAATATGCCATTACCTTGTCCACCTTTAACAAAACTCCCCTTTTTCTTCCAAGCAAGCCTTGTAGCTAAAACCTGTGCTCCCTCAGTACTGTCCTAGAATCATTCTGGCAAATCTTCCAAAAATCTGGTGACCAGAATTGGACTCACTATTCTAGTTGTGGCCTCACAGGAGCCTTATAAAATTTCAGCATAATTTCTCTGCTTTTCTATTTGCTATCTATGTTTGGTTGCTGAGTATAAATGGGAAGCCCAAGATCCTATGTTGTTTGCTAACTGCTTTCTCAATGTGTCATATTCACTTTCAAAGATTGATGCACATTAACCCCTGCATGTCCCTGTGTCCTTATACACACTATGAAAAATGTGGTACTGAGTCCGTATTGTCTCTCTCCATCCTATCTGTCAAAATACATCACCTCAAACCGCAGACTACCACAGGATCTTGATCAGATGGGCCAATGGGCCGAGGAACAGCAGACGGAGTTTAATTTAGATAAATGTGAGGTTTTGGAAAGGCAAATCAGGGCAGGACTTTTCCATTTAATGGTAAAATCCTGGGGAATGTTGCTGAACAAAGAGACCTTGGAATATAGGTTCATAGTTCCTTGAAAGTGGAGTCGCAGGTAGACAGGATAGTGAAAAAGGTGTTTGGTATGCTTTCCTTTATTGGTCAGTGCATTGTGTGTAGGAGTTGGGAGGTCATATTGCGGCTGTACAGGACATTGGTTAGGCCACTATTGGAATACTGTGTGCAATTCTGGTCTCCCTGCTGTAGGAGGGATGTTGTGAAACTTGAATGGGTTCAGAAAAGATTTACAAGGCTGTTGACAGGGTTTGAGGGTTTGAGCTATAGGGAGAGGCTGAATAGACTGGGGCTGTTATCCTGGGAGAGTCAGAGGCTGAGGGGTGAACTTATAGAGGTTTATAAAATCATGAGGGGCATGGATAGGGTGAATAGCCAAGTTCTTTTCCCCAGTATGGGGAAATCCAAAACTGGAGGGAATAGGTTTAAGGTGAGAAGCGGAAGACTTAAAAGCGACCTAAGGCACAACTTTTTCATGCAGAGGATGGTGCGTGTAAGGAATGAGCTGCCAGAGGAAGTGATGGAAGCTGGTACAATTACACCATTTAAAAGGCATCTGGATCTGTACATGAATGGGAAGGGTTTCGAGGGATGTGGGCCAAATGCTGACAAAATGGGATGAGATTTATTTGGGATATCTGGTCGGCATGGACGAGCTTTACCTGTGTCCTGTTGTAGTCAATTAGCATCATTCTCGCTATTTATCACTCATCCAAGTTTGGAATCATCAGTAAATGTTAACATCATACTCTATATTTTAATATCCAAGTAATTTATAAATTTGAAAAACAAAAGCAATGGTGCTCATACTGACCCACTGACTAAAAGGGTAGAGTTTAGGCAGACATTACGTCCTTTGTTTGGGACTCTAGCACCTGGGGAAACAGTCAAAACCAGACCTTTCAAGAAGCAAAGTTAAGGAAAAGGAAAGGACTGGCTAAACTTTAGAATTATCTTCTGCAAGTGGCGAGTGTTACTAGGACATTGTTAGTTTTAAATTAGAGGTTGATTTGATTTCTGGTAAATAGAAGTATTTAGGGATATGAGCAATGATGGGTGTCTGGCATTTGATCTCATTGACTGAAAGGCTTGTGAGGCTGAAAGGCCTCCTCCTATTATATGCTGCTATTGAGTGTACAGACAGAACACTCTGTTGACTCTTGCTTGTTCTAATTATTGCCTTCTCTCCCCATAATGGCAGACGGTCAGCAAGCTGGTAATTTTAGCTGCAAATATCTCCGTCATGTACAATTGTTCTGCTTTCAACAAGGTTGGACGGGATGACCGGGTCATCTACTTCTATGTGACAAGTGAGTAATGGAACTTTACTGATGTGAACGTGTAGCCAACAGACCACTGACCAACCATAGGAGGTCAAGCAGCCTCTATGGCCATGTTGTAGATTTGTACCTGTACCATCTTGTGAGGAACTGAATTAGAAAGAAGGTAATGGTTTTGCTCCTGTACTCGCAACGCAGGGACCTGGACTGATAAACCAAACTTAGAGCTAATGGTATTTGTCTTTTCCCTAGGATGGGGGAATTTCAAGACTAGGGAGCACATTATGAAGGTGAGAGGAGCGAGATTTAAAAGTGAGGGGCAAACTTTTTACACAGAGGGTAGTCTGTGTGTGGAATGAACTTCCTTAGGAAATGGTGGATGTGGGCACAATTACAGCGTTTGGATAGGCACATGAATAGGAAACGTTTGGAGGGATATGGGACAGGAACAGGCAGGTGGGACTAGTTTAGTTTGGGATTATATTCGGCACAGACTGGTTGGACCGAAGGGTCTGTTTCCCTGCTGTATGACTCTATGACTCTCTGGGTTCAAATCCTACAACTGGAATTGGGAGGTTAAATTTTAGTTCATTAATCAAGTAAAAATCTGGCATTAAAAAATGCTAGTAACAGCAATGGTGTCCCTGAAACTGTCAGGTCGCCAAAAACTCCATTTGGCTCACTGATTCCCTTTAGGGAAGGAAACCTGCCATTGTCCTCTGTCTGGCCAATGTGTGGCTCCAGCTCAATGATCAACGTGGTTTATTGTTAACTGCCCTTTGAAATGGCCTGGCAAGGCACTCAACTGGATCTAAAACAGATATGAGCTCCGCCACACCAAATATTCAGGCAGTTCAAAAAGACCACCCACAGTCTTGTGACTGAATTAGTTCATTGTGCGGTTAGTAAATTTCTAAAGAATCCCAGGATCTCACTGCAGAATCCATTCTTTCCCATTTTCAGGCCAATTTCCTTTTGGAAATTATCAGTAAAACTTTTTCCATCCCAGGACATTCCAGATCATCAGAGCTCCTATGTTAAAAGAATACTCTCCCATGATTCTCTCTGGTGCTTTTCCCCATTATAGGTGCCCACTGGTAACTCGCCCTACTGCCAGATGCTATTTCCCTATTTAGAATTCTCAAAGTAAGTTTATCTATTTCCCATAGAGGCCAAGGCGACAAAGAATTATTCTGGATTCAAACGAGGAGCTGAATTAACTTGTTGCTTTCCACTAGGTATCCCAGAAGGATTTGGAATTGATCTTCAGCCTTCGGAAATCCCGGTGGAAGGCGAGAATGTGAAGCTACGTTGCAACGCGGATAACTACACGTACGAGAACCTGAGGTGGTATCGGCTCCTCCCCAGCGCCCTGGAGGGGGAGCTTGGAGAGCCCCCAGTTCTGGAGTGTAAAAGCATGCATCTGTTTGCCAAGGAGATGAAAGGAGTGATGATGATGGACTCGCTGATGAAAGGCGTGGCACTCGAGCTTCAGATTCCCAGCATTACTTTAAATGATGAGGGGGATTATGTGTGCGAGGTACAGAACAAGAAGACTGGAGAGAAACATTGCCACAGGAAATACATCTTAGTGCGAGGTGAGTGTCATAGACATAAACACATTGCATTCTTGTAAGGTGGAAGAATATGCAGTAAGAATTTTCATTTATTTAGCCCCATTTATGACACCAGGATGTTCGAAAGAGCTTCAGAATGAATGAAGTATTTTGAACTGTTTTAACATAGGGAACCTTGCAGTCAATTTGTGCATAGCAAACTCCCATAAACAGTGAGACATAAATGAAGGAAAATGGTTATGATTGTTGAAGGTCAGTCATTTCAGCTCCAAGATATCTCTGCAGGGGCTCCTCAGGGAAATGTCCTAGGCCCAACCATCTTCGATTTCTTCAACAATGACTTTCCCAAGTCAACCCTGCAAAGTCTTTCTTACTAACATCTGGGAACTACTGCTAAAATTGGGAGAGCTGTATCACAGATTCGAGCAACAGCCCAACAGCCCAACAGAGTCATACTCACAGAATTACACTTTACACACATCCCTGCCAGCACCACCACAATTGCTGGGTATGTCTTATTCCCCAACAATTAATTTGGCAGCACAATGGTGTACAGTTGGGAGGGAGCAGCCTTAGGAATCTTCAACATTGTCTCATCGCATCAGGTCAAACATGGGCAAGAAACCTCCTGCTGATTACCATCTACCACCAACCCCCATTCTCAGCCGATGAATCAGTGTTCCTTCACATTGAGCACCACTTAGAGGAAGCATCAAGAATGGAAAAGGCTCAAAATGTACTCTGAGTGGGGGTTTTCAATGTCCATCACCAAGATTTGCTCAGCAGCACCTTTGTCCTAAGTGACATAGCTGCAGTGTGTACCATCTACAAGCAGAAACTCACCAGAGCTCCTTTTTAGCATCTTCCAAACCCATGATCACTATCATTTAGAAGAACAAATGCAGCAGATATGACGGAAAACCACCAACTACAAGTTCCTTTGCAAATCACTCACCATCCTTTTGGAAATATATCACTGTTCATTCACCAGTGACTGGATCAAAATCCTGGAACTCCTCCTCCATTGTGTGTCTGCATTTAGAACATGGACTGCAGCGGTTCAAGAAGGCAGCTCACCACCACCTTCTCAATGGCAGCTAGGGATGGGTAATAAATGCTGTCTTAAATAAAAATGGTTGAAGAATAAATATTGGACCAAAGAACACCACTGCTTTACTTCAATATGTGCTTTAGGATATTTTATACCCATTTGAGAGGACAGACAAATGCTGATTCTGCAAGCCTTTGACAGAGTAGTGTAGACTCTTTGGGCTGCACTGGGAATGTGTAAAATTTCCTCTACTCTTTTAAACTGGAAGTAAATCTCGCTCCATGCTGTCCCCACCAGACACACCCATAATAGCTATAGCACAGGGTTAGATACAGAGTAAAGCTCACTCGACACTGTCCTAGTCAAACACTCCCAGGATAGGTACAGTACAGGGTCAGAGACAACGTAAAGATCTCTCTACAGTAGCCCCACAAAATACTTACAGGGCAAATACAGTATGGGGTTAGATACAAAGTAAAGCACCCCCTCCCAACATTGTCCCCATTAAATACTCCCAAGACAAGTACAGCATAAGATTAGATACAGAGTAGTGTTTCCTGTACATTATCATCAGTATTGTATCAAAACACAATTGGTTCACTAATGTCCTTTAGGGAAGGGAACTTGCCATTATGCCTAATCTGGTATCTGTCTGATTCCAGTCCCATATTATGTTATTTACCAATGTTTTCAGATGGCCCTCATACACCCAGAATAATGACAAATAAAACTCACATGTCATCAGCAAAGTGTCCCAATGTATTCATTTTGCATAGATACTATGCTGTTGAGATCCTCAAGCTGTATATGTGTTTAAGCAAAAGGTCACACTCTACAAAATTTACCTGATGCTAAGTTCTAAATCTTCTTGCAGCTCAGGAGATGCCAAGCCTCCTTGTCAACTTGACCGATACCTCAGTCAACATTAGTGACTCTATCCACATGAACTGTAAAGCAAGCGGCACCCCCCACCCCACCGTCATCTGGTTCAAAGATGAAAAGCCACTCCATGAGCTCTCAGGTAAGAGCCCAAGTACAAACTTTGAATGGAGAGAAATTGCAGTATATGCTGCAGTGCAATTTTATCTGGGTGTCCTTGTACATGAATCACTGAAAGTTAAAATGCAGATACAGACAACAGGTAATTAGGAAAGCCAATGTTGGCCTTTATTGCAAGGGAATGGAATATAAAAATAACATGTCTTGCTACAACTGTACAGGCCTTGGTGAGACTACACCTGGAGTAGTGTACAGTTTTTGATAGGAGCAAATTACTGCAGATGCGAAAAGTCAGCTAGACTTGAAACATTAGCTTACTTTCACCCCATGGATTCTGCTTGATCGGCTGTGATCTCCAGCATTTTCGTTCTGAATGCAGTTTTTGATACTTTGCTTAAAGAGGGATGCTCTTGCACTGGAGGGAGCTCAGAGATGGTTCACTCAATTGATTTCTGGAATGAAGGAGTTGTCTTTTGAAGAAAGGTTAAGTAGTTTGGGCCTTTACTTATTGTTGTTTAGACAAATGAGAGGTGATCTCAGATGATTGATATGGGTAAAGCAGTTGATGTTATCTACATGGACTTCAGTAAAGCCTTTGACTAGGCCCTTCATGGCAGACTGGTACGAAAGGTGAAGTCACATGGTATCGGGGTGACTGGAAAGTTGGATACAGAACTGGTTCAGTCATAGGGGACAGAGGGTAGCAGTGGGAGGATGCTTTTCAGAATGGATGTTGTGACTAGTGGTGTTCTGCAGGGATCAGTGCTGGGACCTCTGCTGTTCGTGATCTACACAAATGAGTTGGAGGACAATGTAGCTGGTCTAATTAGTAAGTTTGCAGATGATACAAAGATTGGTGAAGTTGTGGATAGTGAGGAGGATTGTCAGAGGATACAGCAGGATATAGATCAGTTAGAGGCATGGGCAGAAAAATGGCAGATGGAGTTTAATCTGGACAAAGGTGAGGTGATGCATTTTGGAAGGTCAAGCACAGGTAGAAATTATACAATGAATGGCAGAACTCTTAGGAGTATTGATATGCAGAGAAATCTAGGTGTGCAGGTCCACAGATCACTGAAGATGGCAGTGCAGGTAGATGAGGTAGTAAAAAAGGATTATGGCATGCTTGCATTCATTGGAAGGGATTTTGAGTATAAGGATAGACATGTTATGCTGCAGCTTTATAGAACTTTAGTTAGGTCACGCATGGAATATTATGTACAGTTCTGGTCACCACACTACGAGGACAATATGGATGCTTTGGAGAGGGTACACAGAAGGTTTACCAGGATGTTGCCTGGTATGGGGGATTTTGGCTATGAAGAAAGTTTGGATAAACTGGGTTTATTTTCACGCAGGAGGGCAACCTGGTAGAAGTTTACAAGATTGTGAATGGCATGGATAGAGTGGAAAGTATGACGTTTTTTCCCAGGGCAGAGAGGTCAATTACTACAGGATACAGGTTCAAGGTGCGAGGGGGGAAGTTTAAAAGAGAGGTGTCAGGCATGTTTTTCACACAAAGGGTGGTGAGTGCTTGGAACATATTGCCAGAGGAGGTGGAGGAAGCAGACACAATAGCAGATTCTGAAGATTGATGACCAACAGACACAGATTTAAAATATTTGGTGAAAGCAACAAAGGTGAGCTAAGGTGAATTCATTTTACATAGTGAGTTGTTATGATCTGCAATGTACCACCGAAAAGGAAAAATCAGATCAAATCCTTAACTGAAACTTTTACTGGACAATGAAGACAGAGCAGAGGAGCAATTGGAAAACTCTGTCAAACAGGTGATACAGATATAAATGGGCTGCATGACAATTTAGAATTAGAATCCCTAAAGTGTGGAAGCAGGCCATTCAGCCCATCAAGTCAACACCAACTCTCCAAAGATCATCGCGCCCAATCCCTGTTAGCCTGCATTTCCCATGGCTAACTCTCCTAACCTGCAAATCTTTGGGCTGTGGGGGGAAATCCATGCAGACATGTGGAGAATGTGCAAACTCCATATAGATAGTCACCTGAGGATGGAACCAAACCAGGATCCCTGGTCCTGTGAGGCAGCAATGCTAACCACTGAGCCACCGTGCCACACAACTGCACAGTTCTATGATTGCGTAGGTACTGTGTGTGGACAAGTTTGGGTTTGGCTGTTACCTCCTGTAGTTGAATAACCTATCACAGGAGGAATGAGCAGTTGGACAATAATGCTAGCATAAGGCACAAGGCAGGTATTCAGGGAAACGGGGGTGAAATGGGATGCAAAGGTGGTTACGGGGTACTGGGGGAGATGAATACTATCTAAAGGAAGGTGTTTTTGCATCAAGGGGTCATCCTCAGTGAGCAAAACCAAACGCTGACCATCCAGCGAGCACAAGAGGAGGATGCCGGTCTGTACAAGTGCTTCGCCTGTAACTCCAAGGGCTGTGTTAATTCATCTGCAACCATCTCTGTCGAAGGTCAGTCATCACTTCCACATTGACATTAAAAAGTCAATTTATTACCAATTTTGAAGAGGATACAGAGTGTAAGCGGGAGATAATGCCTGATCCCCTTTGAGTCAACAAGCGGCATCATGGAGCCCATCATCTTGGGGGTCTTCCTCACTGGGGACTTATCTGGAGCCTTGAAGCTCAGCGATAATCCCAGAGACAGAATTTAAAAGTGGGAAAATTGTTGTAGGAAATGAGACACAGCAAAATTCCGCAAATAGCAATCTGATGATAAGCAGATAATATATTTTTACTCATGCTGGATCAGGGATAAATACTGGCCAAAGACAACAGGGAGCACTCCCTGGTTCCTCTTCAACATAGAGCCATGGGATCTTTTGTATCTACCTAAGAGAGTGGATTAGGTTTCATGTCTCATGCCAAAGATGGTGACTCCAACAGTGCGGCACTCCCTAAATACTGGGACTGGAATTTTGGTCAAATGTAGGTCCTCAAATCACTGGAGTGAGGATTTGACCTCACAATATACAGACTCAAATGCAGAAGTGCCATAACTAAGCCACAGGTTAATAGGCATCCAGTTTATTAGGTTACTTCTATTTTGTACCTGCCTCTTGACCGATAATGGTGAGCCTTCTTCTTGAATTATTGCTGTCATGTGGTGAAGGTGCTCTCAACTCATGATGTGGAGGTGCGGGTGTTGGACTGGGCAGACAAAGTCAGAAGTTACACGACACCAGGTTACAGTCCAACAGGTTCAATTGAAATCACAAGCTTTCGGAGCAGGTGAAGTGGAGGGAAGCAAACAGGTGCAGAATACGTAGGCAGGGAGATAATGGCAAAATAATTCCAGGTAATTAAAGAGTTTCAAAAGATAGTAAAATGGGGTGAGTGGAGTGTCAACAGGCTGAAGAACAAGTCTTTGCAGGTGATCAAAAGTGTCAAACGGTGTGAGTAAAGTGTCAACAGCTGAATAGCAAGTGAAGAGATGACCTATGGTCCAATTAATAAAGGCAGACAGATTATTACAAAAAAATCAATCTCTAGCTCCATATTATTTTTTAATTATTTGTAATTATATCTCTGCCTTAATTAATCAGTTCATAGGTCATCCCTTCACTTGTTATTCAACCTGATGACACGCCACTCACACCATTTGTACTATCTTTCAACACTCTTAATTACCTGGAATTATCTTGCCATTATCTCTCCACCTGTATATTCTGTGCCTGTACACTCCCCACCTCTTCACCTGACGAAGGAGCAGTGCCTCGAAAGCTTGTGATTTCAAAAAAACTGTTGGACTATAACCTGGTGTAGTGTGACTTCTAACTCATGTTAGGGCTGGATTTCAGGATTTTGACCTGAAGATGATGAAGGAATCTTAATACATGTGTAATTTATCTGGGTCGGGAGGGATATAGCGATAATGTCACTGGAGTAGTGATCCAGAACCCAGACACATGTTCTGAGGACATAGATTTGAATGGTTGGTGAGATTTGAATTCAAGGGAAAAACGCTAGTCTAACGATGACCATGGTTGAGGTTAAAGTCAGAGCAGCCATTATCTTATCGAATGGCAGAGAAGGCTTCAAGGGCCTTGTTCCAGATTCATAAAAGTAGCAAAAAAACATGAGAAAATGTTGTTCCAAATCCAGTCGGGAATGGTGGTGAACAATTAAACAACTCACAGGAGGAGGAGGCTCCACAAATATTACCATCCTCAGTGAGGAAGAGTCCAACACATCAGTGCAAAAGATAAGGCTTAAGCATTCGTAGCAATCTTCAGCCAGAAGTGCCCAGTGGATGACCCATTTTGCCCTTCTCCAGTGATCCCCAGTATTACAGATACCCGTCTTCAGCCAATTTCACTCACTTCACATCATATCAAGAAAAGGTTGGAGACATTAGATGCAGCTAAGATTATAGGCCCTGACAATATTCCGTCAATAGCACTGAAGACCTGTGCTCCAGAACTTGCCACTCCCCCTGGCCAAGCTGTTCCAGTACAGTTACAACACTGGCATCTACACGACAATGTGGAAAATTGCTCAAGTACATCTCGTACACAAAAAGCAGGACAAATCCAACCCGGCCAATTACCATCCCGTCAGTCCACTCTTGATCATCAGTAAAGTGATGGAAGGTGTCACTAACAGTGCTATCAAGCAGCATCTGCTCAGCAATAACCTGCTCAGTGACGCCCAGTTTGGGTTCCGCCAGGGCCACTCAGCTCCTGACCTCATTACAGTTTTGGTTCTTACATGGACAAAACAGCTGAATTCCAGAGGTGTGGTGAGAGTGATAGCCCTTGATATCAAGGCTGCATTCAACCGAGTGTGGCATCATGGAGCCCTAGTAAAACTGGAATCAATGGGTATCAGGGGACGAACACTTAACTGGTTGGAGTCATAACTAGCACATAAGTATCGCGGTTATTGGAGGTCAGTCATTTCAGTTCCAGGACTTCTCTGCAGGAGTTCCTCAGGGTAGTGTTCTCGGCCCAACCATCTTCAGCTGCTTCATCAATGACCTTCCCTCCATCATAAGGTCAGATGTGGAGAGGTTCGCCAATGACTGCACAATGTTCAGCACCATTTGCGACTCCTCGGATACTGAAGCAGTCTATGTTCAAACGCAACATGATCGGGACAATATCCAAACTTGGGCTGACAATTAACAAGTAACATTCATGCCACACAAATGCCACACTGTGACCATCACCAATAATAATCTAACCACTGCCTCGTGTATAACAGATTTCAATGAAGTTACCATTACTGAATCCTTCACTATCAACATCCTGTTACCATTGACCAGAAACTCAACTGGACCCACCACTTAAATACTGTGGCTACAAGAGCAGGTTAGAACTTAGGAATGCTGCAGCGAGTAACTCACGCCCTGACTCCCTAAAGCCTGTCCACCATCTACAAGGCACAAGTCAGGAATGTGATGGAATACTCCCCACTTGCTTGGATGGATGCAGCTCCAACAATACTCAAGAAGCTTGACACCATCCAGGTCAAAGCAGGCCATTTGATTGGCATCGCATCCACAAACATCCACTCCCTCCACCACCGACACTCAGTAGCAGCAGTGTGTACTATCTATAAGATGTGCTGGAGAAATTCACCAAAGATCCTCAGACAGTGCCTTCCAAACCCACAACCATTTCCATCTAGGGGGACATAGGCAGCAGATACATGGGAACACCACCACCTTCAAGTTCCCCTCTGAGCCACACGCCATCCTGACTTGGAAATATATCACCATTCCTTCATTATCACTGGGTCAGAATCCTGTAATTGTTTCCCTAATGGCATTGTGTGTCAATAGTAGGTGGACTGTAGTGGTTCAAGAAGGCAGCTCACCACCACCTTCCCAAGGGCAACCAGGGATGGGCAATAAATTCTGGCCATCCAGTGACGCCCACATCCCACAAATGAATCAAAAAAATGCTTAGGTCCAATTTCAGTCAGTGAGCAGGTGTGGGGTATAGGTGGGGAGGATGATTCGAGTTAGGGGTTTGCCATAAGCTGAGGTTTACAGTGGATAAGTATTACAGAACCTTCTCCCCAGTTTTTGGTCTTTTACCTCCTTAAGGTATTGACTCTTACTGGGGAAAATTTCTATATCTGTTACACACACTCCGGTTCCTGATTAGTTTTTCATGTGTGAGAGTCAGGACCATGAGTATTCTTGAGCCATTCTACCAATGAGTCCCAACTGCTGTCATATCCCCACTTTTTGTCTGCCAATGTTTCTGTTAAAGTACATGGACTCAGAGTGGGCGCTGGATCAGGCTCAACAATGAGGACTTTTACGGTCAAAGAACTGGTCAGCATCCATGAAAGACTGTGGTTGGCCCTGTAAATGTTACTTCAGTGAAACTCAACAAATTCAATATGGATACCTCCTCAAATTAGAATCACTAAAACATATAAGCAGGCCATTCAACCCATCATGACCATGTTAGCTCATTAAAAAATTCATACTTCTTTGTCCCAAATCTCCCTTTTTAATCTGTACCTACAAGTTCCTCACCCTCAAATATTGGTCCAATTCCCTTTAAAAATGACTTATACAATTAGCCGCCACCCTCTTCTGAGGTAAAATATCACAGCCAACCCTCTGATGGAAGACAGAATCTCTCATCTCTCGTCTAAAGTTTGATGCCATTCACGGAAATGCAGCCTACTTGATTGACACACTATCCAGTACCTAACACTTACGCTCTCCATCAATGTGTGCACACAGTTCCATCAGTGTGTACCACTGACAAGGTGCATTATAACGAGGATCTTTCAACTGCATCTTCCAGACCCATGACCTCTACCATCTAGAAGGACATGGACAACAAATACATAGGAACACCACCATCTGCACTTCCCCTATAAGCCATTCACCATCCTGAGTTGGAATTATATCATGTTCCAGTGCCGCTGGGTCAAAGTCCTGGAATTCTCTCCCTAACAACATTGTGAGGCTCCCTACAGCACATGGACTGCAGCGATTCAAAATGGCGGTGTACCATTGTTGTGATTGTAACAAGGTCAGCCGAGTGGACCTCATAGAATATGAATTCCCTGACTGGGGCTGTTAATCTGGTCAGGGAGCCCTGGCTGACAGATATAAACAGGAGTGTCTGGGGTTCTGTTCACTCCAAAACCTGGCTGTGAGGAAGCTGAACCAGTGTCAAATACTATTCACATCTAAATAAAGGGTGACTTGATGACAGGATTCCAGCCTCTGTGGAGTTATTTCAACTATCACCTTCTCAAAAGCAACTAGGGATGACCTTGACAATAACACATGAGAAAATTAAAAAAAAACTTTTGCAAATGATTTTAAATTTATGGCCTTGACTTGATTCTACCTCTCCGCTAAACAGTGATCATGACAGCCTCATCTATAAAGGTGATGTAAAGCAGTCATTGGAACTCATAATGTTTAAATTTTCAACAGAATAAAGCTTCAAAGAAGCTCCCAGTTCGAACATAATCCTTTCCCATTTTAAACAGGAGGTGATGATAAATCAAATATCGAAGTTGTGATCCTGGTTGGAACTGGAGTTATTGCAGTCTTCTTCTGGGTGCTCCTCATCCTTATCTTTTGTAATGTCAAGCGGGTAAGATTTCTGGGGGTAAGTTATTCAGTGGGTTTTTCTTTTATCATTGTAGTAAATTTTGGTTCAGTGTATCATCTCCAGAGCGTTCACACAATTAGCCAAAACTCCTGAACTGTAGCAAGAGCTCACCCCCTCAAACCAGGAACTCTCCCCCCACCAACCACACCATCCTTCAGTCTCCCCTCACAGCAGTGAGATGCCTCCCTTCAATCTTCTCCCTCCTGCCCTTCCTCCTATGAATTAAGAAATTCTCATGACAGTGCAAACATTAAAATGAGCAAACCACTCTTTGGAATGTGATCTGGGTTATAGTGTAGCAAACACAGGAACAAAAACAAAGTTGCTGGAAAAGCTCTGCAGGTCTGGCAGCATCTGTGGAGGAGAAAACAGAGTGAACGTTTCGGGTCCGGTGACCCTTCCTCAGAATAGTGTAGCAAACCCGTTAGCCATTTTGCACATTGCAAAATCCCACTACAGCAATTGATAGACAACCAGATAATCTGCTTTCAGGGACAGATATTCCCAATCTGTCAATGTGGCACTCCCTCAGTACTGACACTCTGACAGTGCGGCACTCCCTCAGTACTGACCCTCTGACAGTGCGG